TAGGAATAACTTCTAGGGCCTTGACATAAGGGAGAAGGTCCCTAGAAACAATTATGTAATAAATTGCACTAATTCTGGAGCCAGATAGATAGGTCAGTTTCAGTGGAGGGGGTCAAAGGCCCCATTTAGAATGTGATGGTTAACCTAGAGGCTGTTTAAGCCACTCAGAGATCTGCAATGTTTGATTTTTTTATTCTTTGACCTATGTGTGAGAAGAAATCTATTGTCTTCAGGATTGGGAGAGTGTTGTGTGCTTTGTGTAGCAGGTGTGATCATTAGAGCCCAATCATTGAGATTTTGTCCTAGGACTACAAATGCATTTGGATTCATCAATATTAAATTACTAGCATATGTTTTCAGTTCAGTCCACAAGGTTTTGATCTGGGATGTCTGTCTCATGGGAAGCATATAAGCATTTATCATCGACAGGGCATTAATACTGCCATGACATACGTTGAATGGAAGGAAGGGTCTTGATATGGCATGTAGTGTAGTAGACCGCGCCTCTTCCGCCGAGCCCTGAAAACTCATCTGTTCCATGCAGCCGGCCTGGCGTAGTTTTGATTGGGTTTTGTTAGGGGTTTTATATTTTAGAGCAGGCTTTTATGTAACATTTACTGTGATTTTTATTATTGCCTGTTCATCGCCCTGAGTCCCGTAAAGGAGATAGGGCGGTATATAAATTTTAATAATAATAATAATAATAATAATAATAATAATAATAATAATAATAATAATAATAATAATAATAATAATAATAATAATAAAGTAGACACTAGGATCCCCAGGCCTCAGAGTCTGCTGGAGGTCTGAAGGGGAAGTTTTAACAGAACTAATCTAGCATGAGTGCCCTTCTCCTCTGATGCAACATCCAGGAGTCACCAATCATAGAGATGCCAATGTAGGTAGTCCTCAACTTACAACAGTTCACTTAGTGACCATTTGAAGTTACAATAGCACTGAAAAAAGTGACTTATGACTATTTTCCACACTTATGACTATTGCAGCATCCCCATGGTCACGTGATCAAAATTCAGATGCTTGGCAACTGACTCATATTTATGGCACTTGCGGTGTTTTGGGGGTCATGTGATCCCCTTTTGCGACCTGACAAAGTCAATGGGGAAGCCAGATTCACTTAACTACTGTGTTACTAGTTTGGCTACTGAAGTGATTCACTTAACAACTGTGGCAAGAAAGGTCATAAAACGAGGCAAAATTCACTTAACCACCATCTCGCCTAGCGACAGAAATTTTGAGTTCAATTGTGGTCATAAGTTGAGGACTATCTGTACTTTAATTCAAGCAATGCGAGCATCTTGCCTTCAGGCCTTAAGCTGAAGTCACGGAGATCCCCGGAATTGTATTTATATTATTCTCTATCCTGGTTGGCTCATCATGTACTCAGCCGAACCCTTGGACTGAGCTGGTACTATTGAGAAGGGATTTCTCAATCCAGTCTGGAAAGATGAAGTCTTCTTTCATAAACAAATTCAAGGTTTGTGAATGACATTAAATCTAGGCTTGTGGTTCAATGTTCAAGTTCAATGTGGTAAGCCATAAGGTGGAGATGACTGGAGTGAACAGGACAGATTTTTTGTTGGCCTCTCTATATATGACAGACATGTCGAACACAAGGCCCGGGGGCCGGATGCAGCCTGCAAAGTGGTTTCATGTGACCCGTGAAGCCATCCTAGAAACAGTGAGGGAACGGCCCCCGCTGCCTTGGCCCTGGCCCAGGCCAGCCGGGAGCCAATGTACAATTTTGTGGTGGCCATCTATGCTGAAACGCATTCAGTCTTGGCTCCACAAAGCCGTCTAGAAACACCAAGGAACCAGCCCCTGCTGTGTCGCCCCCGCCCCCTGGGTGCATGCTGGGGAGGTATCACCCTTTGTGAGGAATGAAGAAATGGACCATGCCTTGGCGCTTGCCCCGGTTCCACCCCCTTCTGCCAGAGACCCTCAGATCTGTCCCACTCCTGCCCAGGCCCCCACAGGCCCCCTTGATGCGAACAATGTAGAGCTGGCCATGCCCACCCAGTAGGCCACACCCATTCCATCCACGCCCACCCAGTAGGCCGCACCCACCCTGGCCACACACACCCATCCCCCCCCCGAGGGCAACCGCAATGCTGATGTGGCCCTCAATGAAATTGAGTTTGACACCCCTGATATATGAGGACAGTGGACAGATTTCTTCTTACAATGCCCAGGGTCATTGGGGGTTAGCAGCACACAACTGCTACACACACACATAAACATACACCTCAGACTCTCTTTCCATCTCAGGGATTATCTAGCCATGCATGATTCTGCCCATCCAGTCTGAATTCCAAGGAAGGAGCTACTAAGACTCTTGCTAGAAGAACGTTGTCAGCTAGATTTTTTCCAGGGGAAGCTCTAGCATTATGGAACTTGCTCCCCCAGGTGAGATGCCAGGCTCCACCTCTCCTTGCAACCTGGAAGGCTCTTAAAAACATTTTGTTAAAGTGAGCCTTTGGTTTATGATGTGATTAGGGACAAGCATCTGAGCACGCTATGGTTTCTTTATTAAAGTGATGGTTTATTATTAATATTTTCAGATTTTGTTGTTTTTTACTCTGCTGTGCATTGTCCACAGTCTTTTCTGATTGATATGGTTTACTTTTGAAAATAAATTTTACCTCCTCTCACAAATCTGTTTGCTATTTTATTTAAATGGCATGATGTGATGATACTTTGGGACTGCCCCCTCTCCTCAATATGGCAGAGGTTTTTAGGCAAGTCACAGCTTCCCCCTTCTTCAAAGCAATCAATCCTACTTTACGATTGTGCAATGTCTTCAAAGCAATACAATTTCTATACTATGTTCAAAGATGCCAAGATAGTTCACTGATTCCAGATCATCTATGAAGCATGAAGCTGTCACACCAGCATTACCCTGATTTATTTAATAATGGTTTGATGAGTGAGACACAAAAGTCTGGATTTCTAATTATGCTAGTTTGTTTAACCATACCTTATTGAATAATGTATTAATATAACGCATTACTCCACAAACTGACAATTTTGTACTAGCTTAGTTTGATATGTGAATTTAGCCATGTGGCGATTTTGATTTGCACTAGTTTCCCCCAAACTTGGCATCTTCAGATGCTTTGGATTTCAACTCTTTCTTATAAAATCAGATCTTATTAAAATCAAACACAGTTGAAGAGTACCAGGTTCAACAACACAAATTACGCACAGCTAAATACTTTTTTTTTGGGGGGGGGGTACCCAGCCTGGAGTTAGGAATAAAAACTCAAACTCTGACAGGGTAAGATTGGGGCTGCTTGTTGAGGTAGCTTCACCAGGTAATACATACGGTGGAAATGACAGGGGAACTCGTTTCGTTCGTTCTCTGAACAGATGTATCCTTTGATAGCTATGGAACTAAAATGTACGTCCAAATTACATATACACGGCACTGTGGAACGGGAGCAGGAAAAAAGCTTCTTCAAAAGTTGTGCATGGCTGCCACGCCTTCATAAAAAGCGCACAAGAAACAGGGAATTTAACATCTTTACATCTTCTTTCCCATCCCTGCAACTAGAAAATCAGAAAGGCTTGTTGTGCCGTCCCACGTACAGATATTTCCAGAGAAATACCAGACTTCTTTATTGAAGATCGACGAGAATAAATTACCGGGGAGTGGCGTCCAGCAGTCCGGAAGGATCTGTATTTTAGTTTTTTTTTTTCGGGTTGTGCGGTTTCTTTGGCTATTTCTTAAGAAATAAATGCCGAACCACTTAAAATGCGTCCGCATACACCAGTGTTTCTCAACCTTGACAATTTTAAGGCATGTGGACTTCAACTCCCAGAATTCCACAGCCAGCATTGCTGGCTGTGGAATTCTGGGAGTTGAAGTCCACATGCCTTAAAATTGTCAAGATTGAGAAACACTGGCATACACACATTCATCGGAGCCCTTTTTTTAAAAAAAAAAGAAAACCTTCGCTCCCCCGTTTTCTCCCGCCTCGATCCTGAGGCATAGGCACGCATCACGGCCTTGCAGACTACATTTCCCAGAGAGCCCGGCGGCTGTCATCTCAAGCGAGAGCCGCGTGAGGTCGTCCTTCAGACCTGCCGCCGGGTCCCCGGGTGGAGCGAGGTTGGTTCTTTGCCAGCGCCCCGATT